CCTGAATTTCCACTAGTATGACCCACGTGATATTTTGTTTTAGCATGTCATCATTCCTATTTCATCGATTACCCCTCACAAATGTACGAAATTAAACATCAAATATTCTTTATAAAATCGTTATTGCTCACACAAACCATAATTTTTAGTCTTCAATTTTGTTTGGTTACAGAGCTATCGAATAGAAAAATCATACCCCTCCTGCCACATCCTCTCTTTCACAATTCATTGATAGTTCTCTTACATTTTATTATATATTACCTATAACCAATAGAAAGTCAAGGTTTTCATCTATCAAATAACTTAATGTATAACGTTATATTCTGAACAGAATATCGTCAATTTTACTCACAGTACCAGATTCGTTCCCGTTCAAAAGTTAATGACTAGCTTGGATGAATTTGTAACAGCTCTTGTCGCATAGATAGAAAGCCAGAAAAATTTTGTGAGGTAAGGGAATTTGTCCACTTTTGGCATGTTATTAGTCTATATTCTTTGGTGCATTATTTAATTAAATAAAAATTATTAAGTGCATTCCTATCTATAGTATAAAAAATTAGGGTTAACTCTCTTTGAAACCCAACAGCAAGAAAAAAGAAGATTGGGTAAGTACTTTATTTCTTGTTTTTCATATTTATTCTAACTATAATCTAAAAATACATATCTTTTTAAGTTATTTAAGCCAAAAGTAGGTAAAATAAGTAATAATAATAATAATATAATTAAAATGGTTCACAGGGCACGCATGTGAGCAGCTCGTGGGTAATGTAATTTGATAGCGTAATGTGAGCTGCACATTTCCCAAGTGATTTACAACTTATAATGTTGTGAATAGTTGTTAGACATGGTTCAAAAGGCAAGAAAACAGTAAATTTAATTACAAAGAGATGTATAAAGTTACGAACTTAGAGCTACTTAGGATAAACGAATGTAGTTTCATGTTACAATTTGAAGTCATTCTAGAAAGAAAAAAAGGTTTATTTAGGTTTATTTCAATATATTATTATTTTTTTTATTATTATAATTTTTTTTAAAAATATAAATGGTTAGGAGGTTGGTCAAATTGACCAATCAAGTTTTGAGATAGGGTAGAGAAAATAACAGATAATCTATAAAGTTTTACCAGAAAAAAACATTTGAAATGCATTTAGAAGGTTTTATGGATTACACAAATGAAATTTGAGATGGGGGGAATAGAGAGTATCTTTAATTTTAACATGAAAATTACTTTGCACACGGACAATTCCAAACAAATACTCGATATATTCATGGACAAATCTTTATTTTATTTTAATAAAAAT